TGTGATTACCATAGCCAGGCAAGAGTTTTTCTAGTTTTGACTGTGTTACTAGTAAAAGTATATTTTAAAACCATCACCCATTCTTGATGACCTGTGTGCCCTCTGGAAACCCATATGGTAAAAGGAGACAACTAACTCCTATAAACTATCCCTTGACTTTCACGTGTGTGCTGTGGTACATCCAAACACATACACTGGGGCACTTATGCACATGTATACATGTACACACACCCTCGCATACCAAAATAAAATAAAACAATTTGACAAAGGGTCTTTCTTTCCATGTAGCTCTGGCTGTCCTGGAACTCACTGTGTAGACCAGGTTGGGGGGTAGTGGAGTGCTTGCTTAACCAAGCACAGGCTCCTGAGTTCAATCCCTAACAGAAGCGGGGAACCCTCCCACTGGATTCTGATGTGAAAATTTGACATGAGTTAGCACAAAAGCAAGCAAAAAAGAAAACTTAAAAACAACAGACTTTTTGAGAAGTGAAAGTTCACTGTTAGGTTGAGTGAGGACGTAAAAGCTGAAGTCAGGGGAAAACATACACAGGAAACAAAAAAAACCAATTTTATTTTTTCATGTTAAGAATAGACTACACTCTGGGTGGCCAATATCGCTTAAAGCTTTATACTTCTTAAAATAGAAGTCATCTGAGCCAGCACTCCTAGAAGGGGAAAGGAAGGACACCTGAGAATCTCTCCCTCCCCCAAAGCAGCAAGAACCCTGGCAAATGTCGAGGTCAGATTTTCCAAAACTCTCTAAATTGACCAGAGCTTCCAAAGATGGAAGGAACTAAAATGGCTGGGGGAGCCAGGTATGGTAGAGGCAGAGGCAGGTGGATCTCTATGAGTTCCAGGCTAGCCTGATCTACAGAGAGAGTTCTGGGCCAACCGGGACTGCATGGAGAGACCTTGCTCAAGAAAATATTAGGGGCTGGATAATGTATGACTCAGTGGTTAAGAGCGATGGCTGTACTTACAGAAAACCCTGGTTTGGTTCCCAATGACCACATGGTAGCTCACAACTGTCTATAATTCCAATTCCAGGGAATCTGATGCCCTTTTCTGACCTCTGAGGGCACCAGGCATACATATGTGCACACACATACATGCAGGCAAGATATGTATATATATATTCTCATATATATGTTCTAAAAATAGCTAGAGGCTGGAGAGATGGCTCAGTGGTTAATATTAATATTAATAAAATAGTTTGGGTTTTAAGGGTGATTTTGGATATTTTAAAGAGACTTGGATTTTTAGAGATTTTTAAGGATTTTTGAAGTTATACTATGCTTTAATTTATGATATTAATATGAGATCATGGACCCAAGAAAATAAGGGAAAGGTTATTTATGATTTAGTAATGATGTATTTGTCTGTCAAGTTGACAAGAGGTCAGTGGTTCTGGTTTGTTTTTTTGTCACTTTAACATAAGACAGGTCACCAGGGAAGAGGGAACTCAATTTTTAAAATGCCTCTACATGGGCTAGGGAGATGGAACAGTGGTTAAGAGCACTGGCTGCTCTTCCAGAGCACCTGGGTTCAATTCCCAGCACCTGCATGGTACCTCACAACTGTTGGTAAGTCCAGTTCCCGACAGTACTCTTAATCACTGAGGTATCTCTCCAGCACCACCAAGACATTTTTGGTCATGGTCTTTATCATAGCTATAGAAAGCAACTGGTACCAGGAATTCGTGTTACATATACACACACTCAAGCACATACACATTTCCATAAAATATTTTCAAATCTTGCTGAGCAGTGGTGGCACACACCTTTAATCCCATCACTCAGGAGGCAGAGGCAGGTGGATCTCTGTGAGTTTGAGACCAGATAAGTCTGTTGCACAGATAAGCCCTGTCTCGAAAGAAAGAAAGAAAGAAAGAAAGAAAGAAAGAAAGAAAGAAAGAAAGAAAGAAAGAAGGAGAAACAGAAAAGAAAGGAAAAGAAAAGAAAAGAAAAAAAAAAACCAAGTCTCACTAAGGTAGCTGTGAAAATCAAAATCCTGGCAGCCACTAGAGGGGGCAGAATGGGCTTGGAGTCTCCCCAAAGCCCTATGTGTGGACAGTTCATAGTCTTCAACCTACTTGGCTGGCCCCTTTAAAGGTCTCATTCATTCTAGGTGCCGTGACTCGTGCATGAAATCCTATCAATTTATTGGTTGGACTTGGGAATTAGAGGCCAGCCTGGGAAATACAATAAAATCCTGTCTCAAAATAAGTAAAATAAAACAACAAACAAATAAATAAATTAGCTACCATTCATAGGGCTAGTCTCTATTGGACCCTACATGGGGCTCACATGGTGAAAAATTCTATAGTGTTTTCAGAACCCATTAGCAATAAATTGTTTGAACTCCCAGCCATCAAAGGCAGAAATAAGGATGAGGCTAACCAAAAGACTTAAAGGGAATGAGATATGTGCACGGTTCTTTGGAAAGCTCTGATGCAACCCTGGGATCCAGAGGTGCACAAACATTCACTGACTCCCATGTCCAGGAAAGACCTGAGAAGACTCTTGATTTCAGGGACCTTGAGGCCTGATGCAACTGTCGGTAAGTAAAGGCAAAGGCAGAGCAGGCTGCCAGATCACTGAACAGCTGGCCCAACTAACACGCAGAGCCCCAGGAAGGGGAAGAAGCTTATTGGTTCAAGGCATACAGGGAATTGCCGGTCCAATCATTAGTTGACTTCCAAGTTAACCAAGCAGAAGCTTCAGTGTGCACACAGGACAAAGAAAATGAATTTTTACAGAATTATTCTATGTAAATTACTAAATAGACAGCCACAACTAGCCAGCAAGGTAGACCATGCCTGAAAACCCTGCATTCAGGAAGCCAAGGCAAAAAATGAGACACCATTTTGAAATAAAACAAAAGAAGAAACAACAACAACAACAAAACCCACACACAACAGTCACAAATTCTGATTGTGGAGAGAGCTGTTTAATTTACACAATTGCCAAATTACATTATTATTGTTGTTGTTTATTTATTGAATTTTAATAATGTTTGTAAAAACGGTATGAAGACCTGAATTCCATCTCTAAATATGAAGAAAAAAATGGATATGGTGGTGAATGCTTATAATCCTAGCATTGTGGAAGCAGAGACAACTCAGCCCTCTTGGTGAGCTCCAGGAACTCATTTCAAATGAGTTTCACTAAGTTTCCTATGCTGGCCTTGAACTCATTCTGCAGCCTAGACTGGCCTTGAACTAGTGATCCTTTTGCCTCAGTCTTCTGAGTAGCTGTGATTATAGGCACGTACCTCCAGGTCTAGCTCTACAGTCTCAGTTCTGCAGGATGAGAAGGTTACAGAGATAGGGCTCCAGAGTGACTGGAATGACCACTAATGATCAATGTACTTTCAAAGGGTTAAGATGCGGCTAGAAAGATGGCTGGTGCCTAACAGCACTTGCTGCTCTTGCAAGATGGCTCTGTTGGGAGTCCCAGTATCCACATATCAATTCACCACCATCTCTCACTCCATTTCAGGGGATCCTATATCCTCTTCTGGTCTCTGAGGGCACTAAAGGCATGTGGTGCACACATATTTATTTAGGCAAAATACTCATACACATAAAAAAGGATTACCAGCCAGGTGGTGATTACCAGCACACACCTTTAATCCTAGCACTTGGGAGGCAGAAGCAAATAGATGTCTGAGTCCAATGCTAACCTGCTCTATAGAGTGGGTTCCAGGACAGCCAGGGCTACACAGAGAAACCCTGTCTCAAAACTCACAATAATAATAATAATAATAATAATAATAATAAATGTTATTATTACAGCAACAATAATAATAAATCCTTAGAAATGGTTAAAATATTATTATCAGACTAAAGACAATTTAAGTTTTTTGTATAGTGGGGAAAATCTGGCAGTTTCTACCTGTGTCCACTCTCAAACTGACAAATCATTTAAGCCTATGCAGGATGTGCCAGGCTTTTACATGCATAATTCTTTTTTTTTCATTTATTACATATACACCATATTGAATTGTAGATGGTTGTGAGCCACCACGTGGTTGCTGGGAATTGAACCCAAGACCTCTAGAAGAGCAGTCAGTGCTCTTAACCTCTGAGCCATCTCTCCAGCCTTACATGCATAATTCTTAAAATGTTTTGGGAAGTTAATTATAGCTTGTTAAGGTCTAGTGACTCCTGAGAACTTTTCAGGGAGTGGATTTGTCACTGCGATCCAATGGCATGACATTACAACCTGTTTTTTTCTCAGCCAGGGTTTACCTCCACCAAACTAGCCTTGTCCTAAGACCCACCTGGAATATGTACAAACTTCAAATTCCCTCAGAAATAGGCAGCAGTAAGGACACTGGTGGTTGCTAAGCATGTGAATCCTGGAGTGGGTGAATAATAAGAGAAAAGGGCCTGGAGAGAGGCTTCAGCAGTTCCGAGCACTTCCTGCTTTTCCACAGGACTAGAGTTCAGTTCCTAGCACTCCGTTAGGGTGGCTCACAACCAACTGTAACTCCAGCGCCAGTGGGTTTCATGCCCTCCTGTGGCCTTTGTGGATACCCACATACACGTGGCACACACTTATAAGTAAAAACAGGGACAGGGTTTCTCTGTTTTGTTTTGGAGGCTGTTCTGGAACTTGTTCTGTAGACCAGGTTGGCCTCGAACTTACAGAGATCCGCCTGCCTCTGCCTCCCGAGTTCTGGGATGAAAGGCGTGCACCACTTTTTCCTTTTCTGTTTTTTTAAAGTAAAGAGAGCCAGGCATGGTGGCGCACGCCTTTAATCCCAGCACTCGGGAGGCAGAGGCAGGTGGATCTCTGTGAGTTCGAGGACAACCTGGTCTACAAAGACAGTTCCAGGACAGCCAGGGCTGTTACCCAGAGAAACCCTGTCTCAAAAAAAAAAAAAAAAAAGCAAAACAAGAGGTGAACCGCAACAGTGAAGACTAGACTGACTGACTCATGGAGCCTTAAAGAGGGTGGGTCTGCAAGAGAAGGAAGAACAAAGGCAACGAGTAGGCACATTTCATTTTGTGCTTACCAAAGCTCTCGTCTTCCACGCTGGGCTGTGGAGGGAGACTGTGGGGACTGCCCAGGGTTTGGCTTGTTGCTAACCTAGGGGCCAACTTGGACACTCCTGTATGTGCTCCCAGAAGCTAAGAACGTTCAGGTAAGATCTTCCGAGTGGGAAGGATGACAAGGACATTGGGAGACTTGGCAGGTTTGTGCAAAGAAGGGACATATCTTTTGTTAGAAAGGTCACTCTCACCCCCAGGGGCACTCGCACTCAGGTTCACACCCACATGCAAATATACTTACAATTAAAATAAATCTAAAATCCTTGGGCTGGAAATGTAGCTAAGTGGTAGAGCTCTGGTCTAGTATGTTCAAGGTCCTGAAGTTCATTACTAGTTTTTGTTTTTGTTTTTTTTTCAAGCCAGGGTTTTTCTGTGTAGCTTTGGAGCCTGTCTCGGAACTTCTAGACAACGCTGGTCTTGAACTCACAGATTCACCTGCCTCTGCCTCCCGAGCGCTGGGATTAAAGGAGTGAACCACCACCGCCCAGCTTCATGACTAGTTCTACAGAAAGAAAAATAAAATAAGAAAATAAACCAAGTGTGGTAGCACATACTGCACTCAGGAGGCAGCAGGGAGGATCTCTGTGAGTTCAAGGCCAGCTTGGTCTATATAGCAAGTTCCAGGCCAGTCATGGCTACACAGAGAGACCCTGTCTCCAAGAAAAAAAAAAAATAGAACAAGAACGGCTTGAGAGATGACTCGGCTGTGAAGAGCACTGGCTGCTCTTGCAGAGGACCCAGGTTCAATTCCCAGCACCCACATAGCAGCTCACAACTGTCTATAACTCCTATTCCAGGGGATCTGACACCCTCACACAGGCATACATGCAAGCAAGCAAAACACCAAATTAATAAAATACAAATAGATAAATTATTTAAAAAAAAAGAACAAGAAAGAAGGCGAGAAAGGAAGGAAGAACTGAGAGAAAGAAAGAGAAACAAACAGAGATAGATCATTCTGGCTTCTGTGAGGAAGGTGAGTGACTCAAATGTAGAGCCTTGGGAAGCGAGCTGCAGAAAGAACCAGTGTGTGCAGAGATGGTGAGGGAGAGGAAGGGGCCTTGTCACCATTAGCAACTCTTTTTTTTTTTTTTTTTTTGGTTTTTCGAGACAGGGTTTCTCTGTGGCTTTGGAGGCTGTCCTGGAACTAGCTCTTGTAGACCAGGCTGGCCTCGAACTCACAGAGATCCGCCTGCCTCTGCCTCCCGAGTGCTGGGATTAAAGGCATGCGCCACCAACGCCCGGCCTATTAGCAACTCTTTAGTGCTTGGTGCTTCAGAGGCTGAGCCTAAAGAAACAGATCTGTGTTGAGTGGGGATTGAACTCATGTCATTAAATTGTCTTTACATGCTCAATTCATCTTGTCAGTCCCAAGAGAGACCTTTACATTGTCCCTCAGCTCATTAAGTCATTACTTTGGGGTGGGGGAATTATCACTATATAGCCCTGACTGGCCTAAAACCCACCATTCCTCTGACTTATTCCCCTCTTCTATGTACTGGGATTATAGGCATGTACTGCTTGCCGATTGTGGCTGAATTTGTTTGCATGTGTGTGCTTTCTTTGAGAGGTTAGGTAGGGTCTGGTGCGTTTGCCCCAGAGGCTGGACCAGGATAGGGTGCAGGGCAGAATGGCCCTTAGAGAATAGGGAAGGAAAAAACTGAGGAAGTAAAGCTTTAAAAAGTACCAAACTCTGTCCATTTCTGTACCCTCTAACCAATCACCATCCTGCGGGTTATGTCACTTGATCCTACGGCCAATCTGGAGAACTCAGCAGGGCTGGGTCACCATCTCCCCCAGGGCTAAGAGGATTTCTAGGTTGACACGATGACCCAGCTGATACAGAGTTGAGTGCAGAGAACTTGCTTGTGACAGGATGAAGGATCTGTGTGTCCCTGACCCTTTTCAAAGTAGCAAGCAGCCAGGGACCTGAACACTTTAACTACATGTCATAGAGTCCAGGAAGAAGATGAGGGCATGGTGCATCACATCTCTTCTGACTTGGGAAGACCAGCTCCTTTTATAAACCTTCCATGCCATGGAGTGAGAGAGCATTCTTGCTGATCTCTGGTCCAGTGTCGGGGAGCCTTAGGGCCTATGTGTTGAAGGAGCAGGATCTGACCTTATCTTTCTCTGAAGGGACCGAGGTCTGAGGCAGGGAAGGAGTGAGGCACCCCCACAGATCTAGGTCTCCCTAACCACAGCTCTGTCTGCACAGACAGAAAGACATGGCCTGGAAATGGACACCACTCCTGCTTTTGGTCTGCATGTTCACCACAGTCAGTGCCCGTGACAGAACAGACCTGTTCAACGTTTGCATGGATGCCAAGCACCACAAGACAAAGCCAGGCCCAGAGGACAAGCTGCATGACCAGGTTCTGGTGGGAATAGTGTTGCCAGGGAGGAGGGAAGTCGGGGTGGGTGTGGTGAGCAGCCAGACACCCCCACATTCTGAGCTACTGCTGTGGGCGATGACGTGGTAGAGTGGGGAAAGTGGTGGGGTGATTTTCTGAGGACTCTCCCCAGAAGAGGACACAGTGGTGGAGATGACGCAGTGGTCTTTAGAGGCCTCTAATTAGAGGCCATGTGATGATAATCTCTACATCTCTCAAATGAGGGCCCATGGAAGCAAAGGGACTCAGAGGTTACACACAACCAGCCCTTACTGCAGGGTTAGGGTAGGACTTGGAAGAGTTCCTCTAGAAATTTTGAGGGAGAGAAACCAAGGGAGAGATGGGTTTCTACCCTCCATTCCAGAGGACCAAATGCAGAAGCAGGAAGGCCCTTTATGAGAACCACAGGCGTGAGGGCTGCAATTTACTTGGTCTATAAGCATTTATGCCATCCAATAGAAACTTACTGTGGCCTTTTTGTAACAAATATGTTTAGATCATCTTTTATATTCTGGAAATAAATCTAAGCTTAAGAATGGAAACAAACACCCGACAGGTGAGGTGCCACACACCTTTAAACACTCAAGAGGCAAAGACTAGAATATCTCTATGTGTTCAAGCCCAGCCTGGCCTACAAATTGAGTTCCAGGCAAGCCAGGGCTACAGAGTAAGATCCTGCCTCAAAAACAAACATGCTAGCTGGGCATTGGTGGCACATGCATTTAATCCCAGCACACAGGAGGCAGAGGCAGGAGGATCTCTGTGAGTTTGAGGGAGTTCCAGGACAGCCTCCAAAAACAATGCAGAGAAAATGTCTTGAAAAATCAAAAATAAGCCGGGCGTTGGTGGTGCACGCCTTTAATCCCAGCACTCGGGAGGCAGAGGCAGGAGGATCTCTGTGAGTTCGAGGCCAGCCTGGTCTACAAAGTGAGTTCCAGGACAGCCTCCAAAGCTACAGAGAAACCCTGTCTCGAAAAACCAAAAAAAAAAAAAAAGAAAAAAGAAAAAGAAAAATCAAAAATAAATAAATAAATAAACTTATTTGTATTTATTTGTTTCATTGTTAAAAGTTCATTTTATTATTGATTGCTACGTCTATCCCAGGGTCACTGATAAATGCATACATATATATTTATACATATGTCAGCATATTTATAATATATATTATTGAGAATAGAACTGGAGAGATGGCTCAGCAGTTAAGCATACTTACTGCTGTTGTGAAGACTGAACTGAACTGAAGAGTTCAGTTCCCAGAACGGACATGGCAGCTCATAACTACCTGTAACTCCAGTTCCAGAAGATTTGATGCCATCTTCTGATTTGCTCATTCATACATGTAGACACACACACATACAATTTTAAAAATTAGTAAAAAGAAACATAAGAATACAGAATACGACATTTGACCTTTATTACATATATCTGTCTATCGGTGTATGTGAGACACACACATGCCATAGCACATGTATGGAGGTCAGAGGACAATTTGCAGGAGTCAGTTCTCTGGATCATGCAGGTCCCAGGGATCGAACTCTGGTCCTTTTTTTTCTTTTTCTTTCTCAAGGCAGGGTTTCTCTGTGGCTTTAGAGGCTAGGCTGTCCTTGTAGACCAGGCTAGTCTCGAACTCACAGAGATGCACCTGCCTCTGCTTCCCGAGTGCTGGGATTAAGGCATGCGCCACCACCGCCCAGCCCTCGGACTCTGGTCCTTGAGCGTGGCAGCAAGTGCCTTTCTTTACCCACTGAGCCCGTCTCATTGGCCTGCTTTGTTTTCTTTTTTTTTTAATGAACAAATGAAAAGGCTGGAACTCACTATGCAGGCCAGGCTACCAGGCTGCTTCTGCCTCTCAAGTACTGGGATTAAAGGTGTGCACCATAATACCTGGCTTGGTTGGGATTTTTAAACAATCGTTTCTTTTATTTATTTGGTTTTTTGATATAGGGTCTTATATAGCTCAAACTGGCTTCAGACTCAGGATGTAACTGCAGATGACCTTGAACTCTTGGTCCTCCTACCTCTACTTGCTGAATACTGGTTTTATAAGCTTGTGCCACCACGATGGGGTATGTTTTGTTTGTTTTTGAGACAGAGTCTAATCCATGTTATCTAGGATGGTTTCAAATTTATGGTCCTCCATCCTCAGCCTCCTGAATCCTGGGATTACAGGCATGTTGCCAACATGCCCAGTGAAAAGAGTTTTTATAAAGTGTGAGCCACTATATAAATAAGAACTATTATTCCAAAGACAAGGCTCCCCTAGCTTCTTTGTCACACTGTGGGAACTGTATCTCCCTAGAGCCGGGGACTCCTGAAGGTCTAGGATAGAGGGGCCTCTGTGGTAAGTGTTCATAGAGCAGCCTGCCTGGGGCAGGGGAGTGAGGGCCAACTGAGGCAGGGCTGGAAGGTGACATGAGCTACAGAGTAGGGCAGAGACACTCAGCCCTGTGTCTTTCCCAACTAGTGTAGTCCATGGAAGAGAAACGCCTGCTGCTCAGTCAACACCAGCCAGGAGATACACAAAGACAACTCTCGTCTGTACAACTTCAACTGGGATCACTGCGGCAAGATGACACCCACCTGCAAGCGTCATTTTATCCGAGACACCTGTCTGTATGAGTGCTCCCCCAACCTGGGGCCTTGGATCCGGCAGGTACGGGTACTTCCCTCACACACACTTCAGGAAGGCTCTCCTTAGGATCAGTCTTTCAGCTAGAGCTGCCAACGTCCCCTCTACCCAGGTGGACCAGAGCTGGCGCAAAGAGCGTTTCCTGGATGTCCCCTTATGTAAAGAGGACTGTCAGGAGTGGTGGGAAGCCTGTCGCACCTCCTCTACTTGCAAGACAGACTGGCATAAAGGCTGGGACTGGACCTCAGGTAGGGGCCCAGGGGTAGGAAGATGGAGTTAGGACTTGGAAAAGGGGAGATTAAAATTTTCTGGGGTGCGTTTTGACCCTAGGGCTGAATGTCTGTGCCATCTTGATTCCGCCTGCAGGCATTAACAAGTGCCCGGACACCACAGCCTGCCGCACATTTCAGTACTACTTCCCCACCCCAGCCAGCCTTTGTGAGGGGCTCTGGAGTCACTCCTACAAGGTCAGCAACTACAGCAGAGGGAGTGGCCGCTGCATCCAGATGTGGTTTGACTCAACCCAGGGCAACCCCAACGAGGAGGTGGTGAAATTCTATGCTGCCCTTGTGACAGCTGGGGCTGTTTCCCATTCAGTGGCACTTCTTGTGCCCAGCCTGGTCCCCGTGCTGTCATTATGGCTCCTTGACTGAGGCCAGTCCTCTCTCTATAGACTTCTCCTCTATCTGCCTGAAGCTGGGTCTCAGTGCAGCTCCTCTAAGAATGAGAGAGTCTTAAGCCTGCTTCCAAACCCCACTCCTCTGTCAGCCAGTTCCTGCTCCATGGGGCTTGGGGTTCCTACAACAGTCATTTCTAATAAATCTGTGACACCTCTGGGTCTAATGAGTTGTCCTCACTGTGAGTTTGTGGGTGGGTGGGGACAAATCCTTTTGGGTCGGAGCAAATAGAGTGTTTGAATGCCCCTTGTCACTATATAAAAGTTCATAATTAGTTTCCTCCTTCCAGAAGGGGGATGAACTAAATGTCTACATATTAGTAGTCTGTAGGAATCTAATTGCTTCTAAGGCAGATCTAGGATTTCTTATTCATATAGTTCTTAAACATTATCCCTTGTGGTCTGAGAATGTAACTCAGTTGGAAGAGTGTTTGTCTAGCATGGGGAAGTTCTAGGTTCTGTCCTAAGGGGGTGTTGGCACAGGCCTGTAATCCCAGCACTTGGGAGGAAGAAGCAGGAGGATAAGAAGTTCAGGGTCATCATTGGCTACATGGAGAGTTTGGGGCCAACATGGAATATAAGACACACTGTCAGCACTCGGGAGGCAGAGGCAGGTGGATCACTGTGAGTTCGAGACCAGCCTGGTCTACCAATCGAGTTCCAGGACAGCCTCCAAAGCCACAGGGAAACCCTGTCACGGAAAAAAAACCAAAAAAAAAAAAAAAAAAAGACGCACTGTCTCCAACAAAAATAAAAACCCATCCCCCCAGCAGGGCACTTGGGAGGCAGAGACAGGCAGATCTCTATGAGTTGGAGGCCAGCAAAGGGTCTGGAGAAATGGGGAAGATTCACACTGCCTACCATGATGAAGATAGACTGGGCTGGGGCCCCTATGGAGAGGAAGAGAGTCCATTAAGAAGACGATCTGGAAGACACAGAGGAAATGCAAGCTTGCATTTGGCCCAGTGCTGTGTCCTGCAGATGATGCTAAAAGTTAGAAACCTTTACATGCTTCCCAGAGGCAGCTCTGTTCTCAGTATAAATCAATTTGTGTTTACTCTGGGTGTGTGCACCCGTTCGGCTGCATGGGTGCCTTGACACAGCTGTGAAATCAGGACAACAGGCAGGCGCGCTCTCCTTCCACCACATGGGTCTCTGGGATTCAAGTCTTCAGCCTGGGCAAAAGCACCTTTACCCGCTAAGCCATCTCACCCCAAAGACCCATTCTTTAGCATGTCTGTCCTCTCATGGAACTGTAAGTACATTGATTTTGGAGGGTTGCTACAGCTTTTTCTCCTCCTCCTTGGTCTCCTTTTTTTTCTTTGAGGCCGGATCTCCTATGGAGCTTTGGGTGGTCTGGAACTCTAGACCGACAAAGCACTTATAACTAGGTATGGATCTTGCTTCTGCTTACTGAGGGCTGAGATTACAAGCAAGGGCAAGTAAGACCCCCTGCTTGGCTTAGTCATTGCACACCTCCAGGATCTGGGCTTGAGGTGATTTCTGGGTCTTCAGGGCCCTCCCTTCCTACCCTGGGGACTTCTCTGTCTCCACATCCCTACCACAGTTACCCTCCTCAGGGACAAGTCTGAGACCAATAGAACAGTAGAAGGGGTTAGAGCCCAAACTGTAGATCCATAGCCTAGGTCTCTCCCCACAACACCATGGTATCCCCCGACAAGAAGTCCCTTACGCCAAAAGGACAGGAGGAGTTGGGTACAGACTGGAGATGAGTTTCTCTATTTACGGCCTGGCAAGACCAGAGAAACGTAGGTGGGTAGAGGATCTCTGTTATTGTATTAATCTGGTCTGGAAGGTCCCTACGGACCTCCTCTTCGCGTCTCAGGCTTTGCTCCAGCTGGGTTAAACCAAGGCACCTTTGAAACAGGGGAAACCCCTCAGGGCTGACCCCAGGCTCGATCAACAGGTTCAATTTACCAAAGCGGAATTTCTCTCCTGGGTTAAAGGGATGCTTCGACAGTCTCCCAGGAGTTGGTGGCTGCAGCCGAACGGCTAGAGGCCTGCGCCTTTAAGGAACCAGGGGGCAGAGGGGCGGGGCAGGAAGAGAAATCCCTGGAGACGCCGCCACCATCCAGGTCTTTTTTAAGGGGGGAAATGGGGCGGGCCAGAGCCCCGTTTGGGTTCCGCCCCACCTTCTCCCGCCGCTCCCCCTTTTCTCTCCTAGGGGTGGGTGGATGAGAGCTTGTAGCAACCCGGGTCTCCGGAGCTCCCTGCTCGCACCTGGCCCACCGAGTCGCAAGTTTGTTGACTTGGAGGGAGTAGCCGGGGCGGGGGCGGTGCTAATAATACCCGTTCATTCCCCAGTCGCGCTTTACAGTTTACACAGCTGTCACCTTCTTTACTCCTTAATTAATAATAAAAATAGCCGCCGTCCGGGAGCGCCCGCAGCGTGCCAGGCCCGGAGCTTTACAGGCAGAGCCCCAATGAGTCCGCCCTTATAACGTTACCCCAGTTGTCGAGAGCGGGAAGCTCAGACGCAGGGACGAGCCGAGACTGGCCCGAGGTCACTCTGCGGGCGTGCGGCGCGGGACCCGTACGAGGGCGAGCGAGGCGGGACGCGGGGCTGGCTCCGGGGGCGGGGCTCGGGCGGGGCGGAAGGCGCGGGGTGCGCGGTGGCGGCGGATGGCCATCTTAAGTGGCCGCGGGGAGTCCAGAACGGCTTTCCCGGGCTAGAAGTCACCCGAGTCGCCCCAGAGGTGGGGCCTGCGCGCGGCGGCTGAAGCACTGGGACTTGAGGGAACTTTTTCCCCCTGGATGTTCTAGGGGGTCCTCCTGGTCTGGGACTGCAGAACCTGGGCCTGCGGGTGTGGGGTGTGGTGCCAGGGAACTTGGCGGAGATGGGGGAAGGGTTCTGCCAGACTGGAGGGCCTGCGGGGACCGGTGCGTGAGGGACTCGAGGATACTGGACCTGGTGCATGTGTGTGTGTGTGGGGGGGGTATGGGGTATCGGATCTCATTGGAAGGGGTCTTGTGGGATGTGTCAGGGATCGGAGTTTGGGGGTTCAAGTCTGAAGGTGCTCACAAGAGTTGGGGGAACTTGTTTGCTCGGATGATGGGAGTATTTTCTGGGGAGGTTCATCCTGGAGTCTTCCTTTAAGAACTCCGATCTCGCAAAGCTGTGAGGGTGCCGAGTAGAAAAGGATGTAGTTAGTAGAATCAGACTTTTTCAGGGATTAGGGGTCATTTCATTGCGAATCGTTGGAAGGGTTGAATTCAGCAGGGAAAGCTGGGACTCTCAGATTGTCCGGGAGCGGGTACGGGGAACTGGATCTTCTTGAGGTGGGGGGCAAGATAATTGCGGGGCTTGGGAGGAGCGAGTCCTGTAGGAGTGTGGGGGCATCGTCCTTGCTGAGACGTTGGGGGCTGGGGCGGCCCGGGACCTGGGCCGAGTAGAGGGGGGAGGGGACCGGCCAGCTCCTAGCTTCGCTCCTGCCCCTCCCCCGCCGCCTCTGAACAAACTTTTCTTTCTTTCTCTTCAAGTTGGGGCCGGCGCTGCTGGCGGCGGCGGCGGAGGCGGCTGCGCGGAGATAGAGGCGGCCGGTGCGACCGGGCGTGGAGCCCCGATCTCGGATTCGCTCGGGCTAGTTGATCCTCAGGCCCGGGACCCAGGCACGGCCCCAACCTCGACTCCAAGCTTTGCCGGGCGGATGGCGCGGGGCGGCAGGCATCGGCGGCGCTGAGCCCAAGGCGGGCCATGGCCTCAGTGTGTGGGGCGCCGGGTCCCGGGGGCGCCCTGGGCAGCCCGGCCCCTGCCTGGTATCACCGAGACCTGAGCCGAGCTGCGGCGGAGGAGCTGCTGGCTCGGGCGGGCCGCGATGGCAGCTTCCTGGTGCGAGACAGCGAGAGCGTGGCGGGGGCCTTCGCACTCTGCGTTCTGTGAGTAGGGCCGGTGCACGCCGAAGTGTTCCTTGGTGGTGGTGGTCATCGTGGTAGTGGGTGACTGGAGCTATGGGGCTGCAGCCCCGCCTCCAACCCCTGAGTGGAGACCTTGACTTTATCACTGGGTGGAGGAAGAATAGAGGGGAGCACTTCCTGCTGTCTGAGAGCACTTTCTGGGGCCGGAGGCCAGAGTTCTTAAGCCCTGGGTGGGTGTGATGGGAAGAAATGCCGGCAGACTGTGGCAGACCTGCTTAGACTTCCCGGTGCCCCAGATGCACAGGGGATAGCATGCATGTTCCACATGGGTACAGTTCTTTTAAAAGCATGTGTCAGTAGGCAGTAGGGGGCAGAGGGACCAGTGGGGTAGGGCGGAATAGTGGGTGTTGAGAGGAGGACTTGGAGAGGCAGCAGGGTAAATCTGTGTGACACAACACCTTCATTTCATCAATCAATGAGTGAATCTCGACTTCAGGTTGAGCTCTGGCTATCTGGCCATGAATGAGTGCTGAGTGTAAAGCTAGACTTGGCAGTATTTTGAGTGGGCCTGGTCCTGTGGCCGAACCTGGCAGCTGTGTGTGGTAGTGGTGTACTTTCTGTTTTGCAGTGTTGTTTTGTTTTTGCTTTTTTTGAGACAGGGTTTCTCTGTGCAGCCTTGGCTGTCTTGGAACTCACTTTGTAGACCAGGCTGGCCTTGAACTCACAGAGATCCACCTGCCTCTGCCTCCCGAGTGCTGTACTGTACTCCCTGAGCCACAGTTCAATACTGAGTGGGTTTCTGTAGAAAGCATTAGGCACTACTGTGTTGAGCTCTAGTGAGAACACTCTCAAACCCCGTTTCCTCTGTTCCATTTTCCCCTCTTCTGACATCTTTGGGAATACAGTGGCCCAGCCTACAGGGAACAAACATTTCTGATTGTCACACTTGGGATGGGGCTGTGGGTATTAGTGGACAGAAGCCAGAGATGCTGTTAAATATCAGACAGTACCTAAGACAACAAAGGATTATGGGATTCCAAAGGCTAGTAGTGTAGACACTGAGAACTTTAACCTTGACAGTTGACCTGCCGAGTGAGGGGTCCTGTAAACCTCAGCTTTTGCAACAAGTCAGAGGCACACTCCGTGAGGAGAGACTAAAGCCAGACATCTTATGCCCATGAAAATCCCAAGAGTCCTGCCTCCTAGCCACCTCTAAACAGATCCCTTAATTAGGGAGGGGACAGGGGCAGGTGCTGGATCAGCTGTCTGAGTGGGAGGGGGACAGCTGGGG